AATTGTATTATTTTATGCTTAACCCAAAAAATCGCCTTCTGGAGATCTAGACTGGAGCGGTATAAACAGGCGTAGGCGGGGTAGAGCAGGGGAAATCTCCTCCTTAGGAATTTTGCTTGTTCTTGTAAATATTATCTTAAGATAGTAAAAATATCCCCCCACCCACTCTCTCCTTCTTTCCAAGTTTTTTAAAAAGAATCCAGGCCGTGCCGGGCCTTACAAATGGTACCTCTGCATCTCTGATATTTATTTATGTTTCTACATGTTTATTGATTTAAAAAAAACAACGCTTATGCGTAGGACGAAAAATTTTTAGCATGGAATGAGTTTGGGCTCGTTCAATTTTACCTTACAATAATGGAATGTATCCCTCCCTGCCTTTACTCTGCAGAAAAAACGAATTAATAAATAATTAATATAAAAATAATAAGTGCTGGCCTTTATTCCATAATTATCAAACCATATTGTCAATTTAATTTATGTTTTACGCATCTTATAATATGCACTTTATAGAAAAGATTCATCATCCATTGTTTCTTTTAAAATGTCTTTTTTTTGGATAAAATAATTGTATTTCTTATATTTTTAGAATAAAGTCATAAACCATATGTAAAATTTAATTGCAACCATATTTTACATTATAGATTATGACATGTAAAATAAAAGAAAAGTGTATATATGTATTATATAATATAAAAGTGAGCCAAGTTGGTGGAGCTAACTTTATATTTATATTGAATTCCATTTGTTAATGTTGTTAAACGGCTCGTTTTTGAACTTATTTTAAAAAAACGCTCTCAATATGTTGGCCAGAAAAATATTGTCCTATCTTCGAGATTTCGCTAATAGATGCCTAGACCTATGTGCCATCTATTAGCAAAATCTTCAGGCCTTGCCTAATTTTTCTGGATAAAAATTGAGTCGGCTCAAATCGAACCGTTTAGAAACGTTGTTATTTAAATATGAAATATTAATATTTAAGGATAATGATGTACGAACGTTTATTTTGATTTTTTTTTATCTGCTTTATTAAAATATTGGATAGTTTCGTAATTTTATCCTTATATGCAAAAATAAAATTGTTGCGCTTCACCTTGAATTCATAGTGGCGCGATCGCGATTTAACAGCTGATTGATTTTTAAAATCTGTTTATGAGATCAATTATTCTTTATTAAAATCATTATTTCTTAGATTATTATTAAAATTTGAGTTAAAGATAAAATTAATATTAATAAATAAAAATTGATCTCATAAACAGATTTTAAAAATCAATCAGCTGTTAAATCGCGATCGCAATCGCGCCACTATGAATTCAAGGTCAATAGCGTCTGTAGCATAGTCGGTGAGTGTGTATATCACTAAATCCGATTATTCGTTCAAATCCAGCAAGACTAGATTTTTTCCTGAATTTTCAACTTGGTAGTTCAGATGATATTTGGAATATCGGAGGTGACCACGTGATTCAACTTATATATATACTGTAAAATTTGGTATTTATTTAGAATTTCTATATGATGACCATTGCTATATATAATTTACCAAATATTATAAGCATTAAAAAATAATCTATGTATATTTTTTATCTAGTCACTTCAATGGTTTGTTAATCAAAGGGATTCCACAGCAAAAATAGGGCATTAATAAAAATTATAATGTTAAAATACACTATTACTCTACTCATGGCAATTTGGGTCTTGATTGAATGTATCCACAATCACAGTGTTCTTTTTTACATTTTTATTATTTAGCCACACAACAAATGGTTATTGCATCACCCTAAACTAATGTATATTCATCGAACCCATTTATTAAGAGAAATATATTTATTAATAAATATATAATTCCTTCTCATATTAGTCTTAGTACCTACACCATATCTTTTGTGACATACTAAAATTTATTATAAACCTACAATTATTTAGATGTGGTTCTATTTAGTATATAATATTCTTAAGATATCAGTATAATGAATAGAAACTGTGTTATGTGAAACGACTTGAGTTTCTAATGCTTAAAGAAGGAAGGAAGGAAGGAAGGAAGGAAAGATAGAAAGAAAGAAAGAAAGCCATGTTAATATTTAGAAATAAATTTACGTTTTGAATAATTAGAGAGCCCGTGGTAATCAAAAGCTCTGTGTTTGATTAAAAGAATATTAATTCCCAGATGAAGTACTAAATATTGACTTATATTTTTATTATCTAGACTCTAATTACAATTGGTATTGCCGATATCTAGTTTATAATTGTCTCAAGTTGCATAATGTACACTTACTTAAAGTCTTTTTGCCCTTCCCCTCCTGTTGGTATTCGATTTGCAAATAAACAAATAAATTAATCCTAAATGTTGGTATGAGTATTAAAACTTGTTTGAAATTTCGAAAAAAATAAAAATATAACAAAAATTTTAGTTACTAAAAGTATATATTAGAAAAACAAAAATAAATGATATCTTAAGAGAATAAATATATATTGTCAAGGGAGAGCATGCTTGTCCTTTAGAGGTGACGCCCACAATTTCACATTCTGATTAACCCTTCAATATTCCTGAGGGATTTATAGTACACCAGGCATGCTATAATTGATATTACTTAAAACGATACGTACTATGATCTAATTTTCGGCAGTTTTTCATTAAACATATCTTGGAATATAGAATTCAAATGTTATTTATTTTGTTTAAGTACATTTTATGATATAAGCATTTCATGACTTCACTAGACTGTTTGCTTAATTTTTAAAAATTTTTTATTTTATTTTTATTAATATTAATTATACGGTCTTGTTTTTAAAATTCAATATTTTTTTTGTGTGCTTAAAGTTTAGAGCCAAAATTTCTTTTTATAACCTTTTTTAGAAAATTTTGGCGTTATAATTATCTTCAATTATTTTCTATCTAAGCCTAATAAACTAAAATAAATATTTTATAAAGATTAGTTCTATCTTATATCAAAATATAAAATCAAAATAATGAATAGAAATGGAGATATATAATATATTTATTTGAAATTGGGGTTTAATAAACCAAGAGACTAGCAGAGGCACCATTTGCACGGCCCGGCCCGGTTTTAAATTTTTTAGGCCCGGCCCGGATATTTTTTAAAAAATTTTTTTACGGCCCGGCCAAGGATTTAAAGATTTAAGCCCCGGCTCGGAATTTTTTAAAATTATATTCGACCTGGTATATACAAAAATTCACCTATGAGGTATTTTACCATATTTTTCAGCGAGTATTATCGCTTATTATTTAAAAAATACATGAAAAAAGCTAATATTTTGAGAATATTATATTGAATTTATAAAAATTATAAAACTGTTATTTATAAAAATGGATATTTTGAGCATATACTATATTTTTTGCATTTATAAAAATAAAACTAATATTCATAAAAATGGTAATAATATTTTGAGCATATACTATATTTTATATTGCATTTAAAAAAAATAAAAATATTTAATTTATAAAAATGGAAAATATTTTGAGAATATAATATATTGTATTTAATTTACTATTTAATTTATAAAATAAAAATAAATCGCTATTTAAAAAAATGCATGTATAATAAATAGTATTTTGAAAATATAATCTAATTGTACAATATTAATATAATTTATTTTATAATTTTTAGATATTTTATATTACATTTATAGGTTGGTTTTTCAGGTGTGAAAAAAAATTATTAATTTTCATGGATTTACCATCAGATTTATGTCATTTTAGATGTGATGTACCATGTTTATAATTATAAGATAATATACTTAACAATTCCTACATTGTACGTAGCCAATGTTTTTTTTATTTTCATCTATGATGATGTTAAATTTAGCCCCTATTTCAGATTTTAAAATATTATTTGTATTTCTAAAAAGAATAAATATTATTTTTAATTTTATTAATTATATCATTAGTATTTTGTGCCATGATATTCCTTTATTTGATTGTTTTGGTAAATATTCTAAAAATTTAGATATGAATTATAAAAAATTTATTATTAATACTTGAATATTGGGGCTTATTTAAGATATTCCTTTATTTGATTGTTTTGGTAAAATATATTGTAAAAATTTAGATATGAATTATAAAAAAATATATTAATACTTTAAATAAATTCACAAGAAATTAATAATTAGATCGATCTGTGGGTGTTAGGTGTGTTAACCATCACCCAATATTATATTAATCATAACTATAATATAATATAATCTTATAACCATTAACTCATAATGTAAAAATTTTTATAAAAAATATTAAGGCCCGGCCCGGCCGGTTTAACAATCTTAGGCCCGGCCCGGATATATTTTAAAAAAAAATTTTAGGCCCGGCCCGGATATATTTTAAAAAAATTTTTTTAGGCCCGGCCCGGCCCGTGTATATTTAAAAAATTTTAAATACGGCCGGGCTTAGGGCCGGGCCTGCAGGTCTCTGATTAAACCCCCTTTTGAAGCATTCAGTTCCTTTTTTTTCACCGTACTATTGAAGGGTGAAGCAAACTATCTGAAATGATAAACCTTGAGTTTATTAAATACTATAACTAATAATTCTTGGTTGATAAAAATCGCTAATTTAGCTTGAGTTTTTCTTTAATTTTTAAGGTCTACAATTAATAAAATTTTTATAAATTATAAATCTTCACTATACAGTTGTTATATTATATTTATTATTTTATTTTTTTTTGTAAATATCATTTTACTCAAACCTTTTATAAAAATTATTTTTATTAAATATTATAATATCTCGTGGGTTAATAGCCATACATTGCAGAATAAGCTAAAATAATACTCAAAAAAAAACAAATATTTTATTATCTTTATTTTAAATATTGATATGATTCTTTCATTTCATAATAAACAAGATATTAAATTATATCTAATTATAATTTATGGCTCATTATAAAAATATATATTTTTAAAAAAAATAACAAGTAAAATTTTCTTAAATTGAATTGTAAATAATAGTATACATAATTTCTATTTTTTAAAAAAAATTATATAATTATTTTATTTTTATATTTTTTTAATATAATTTTACTTTTTAATAGAAAAATAGGTTATAATGAACTATTTATACAAAATAAATATTTCAAATATTTGCGATGCAAGGGATAAAAAAATATCATCCTTCATAATCAGGGAACGATAATGACCAAGTATTCTAAAATTCTTTTTTTCTAACAAAAATTCAAACAAATAATTAATGGATTCCTCCGCGCTAACCCCTATGATTACAAAAAATTCACCAGATTCAAAACACAAGGAAGCTCACGAAAATAGCAAAAGACCCATTGATTATTCTTTAAAATTTCGCCATCCTAAAATAAAATCTGTAAGTGTTTTTATATATTTATAAATTGATTTAAATTTCTTCTTCTTCTTTTTTTTTGAAATGGACAAAATATTTTGAAAAAGGATATCATTTATTTAACTTATAATTATAATCAAAAAGAGCTTTCATTTGTTTATTAGACAAGTATCCTAGCACCCGGCTGTCCAAGCCTGTAAATATCGCCGGGGTGGCCTAGTGGGTTTATGATGTATGTTTGGAAGCAGAAGGTACCAGGTTCAATCCTGGTAAGGAAATGTAAAATATATAGGATTTTTTTCGATAACTGATGTGTAAAGACATATGATAAGATGAATTTCTGAGAAATGCCCTCCCCCGGTCACCGACAGGCTTGGACAGGCGGATGCTAGGATACTTGTCCTATGAACCATTTCTTCATATTGTCTCATAAAGTTAGAGCCAATATGAAGAGATATAAATTAGAAAAATAAGATAGCAGGAATAATATAGTTGAGAGAGATATTGAAGGAGCTTACCACCAGAAAAGGTAAAAGATAAAAAATAATTATCAACAAAATATAGGAAGGAAGAAAAAAATTATCCACACATTTTATAAATTGATACCTACAAAAATCAATTATATTTTTTTTAGACCGAGTCACCCCCCCCCACTGGACCAGCTTACCCCACAGTGACTAAACTTTTATAAACGGAATTAAGGAAATATATCTCAAACTCAAAAATATTTATTTGTAATGCGTTAAATTTAAATATTTCGAAAATAATCGAATAATTTAATTATGTCTTATCTATTTTATTCTATTTATTACAAATTTAAAAAAAATGAATAGATGAAATATATAGGGGAGACCAGGGCTATTTGGCACAATTTTTTTGTCAAAATCATCATAGATCCATAAGATGGTATGAGATATCTTGCAAAATACTAATTGATACCTTAAACACTTACTTATAAAATATACACTGTTATATTTTTTTTAAAAATATTTAATAATTTTTTTTTTCTTAGTTGAAAGTTATTTTTTGAACCTAGTAACCCCAAACCAGTGATTAAAATGAAAGTAAATTAAAATGAAAGAAAGTAGAACGTAAAGTATATATATATATATATATATCTTTAAAATGAAAGTAAATTAAAATGAAAGTAAAGTAGAACGTAAAGTTATATTTTTTCCTTTTTTAAGTATTAATTTTGGATCTTTTACCTCTTTCACTTCTTAAATATTAATTATATATCTTTTCTTCCTTTCTTCTTTTAATTATTAATTAATGAATCTTTTCTTCTACAATATTTCTTTATTCATAAATTTCCACAAAAATAATAAGTGAATAGTATATACATAAATTTCTCCTTTTTTTAAAACAAAAATAAACATCTTTTTCCTTTGTTGCCACTGTACTTTTCTTTTTCCACAAAAATAAACAAAATACATGGCTAACAACAGGTTCGTAAATATATATAAATTAATTATAATCCTTTAAAATATAATGAATCTTTATCATCCTAATACAACAGTTAGTCTCATCGAGGGGCTAGTGCCAAGTGATTTATTACGCTTCCTAAGAGAGAAGACACAAAAAAAATTTTATTCCGATTTTCATATATGCTTTATTTATGTAATATTCTATTTAACAATTGTAACAAATAAAATAGCGATCTTTTTTTTTTGGTAAAAGATCCGTGCGCTTAAACCTTTACATACTCTGCGTTGAAACCAATCTTCAAAATTATAAAAATTTTTGGTCCTATTTACATATAATAACAAACATCTTTTATTAATTATTTTAACAATGTATTTTTTAAAATTTTAGAATTCTGCTGTTTTAATAGAAGCTGCTTCCTGAATGGGGATGAGGTAAAAATCTAAGCTAAATTTTTTTTTTAAATTACCTTTTAACAGATAAACCATAAAAAGATTTATTTCATGAAATTAGATATTTAACCATTTTATTTTCCTCATCATCAACAAATTATTTTTTATTTATCTTGCCCTCTCTTGAGCATAGTTACAGCCATTTTATATTTTTTTTTATAATGAAATTTAATACTGAAAATTGATATAGCTTTATGGTAAAATAAAAATGGATAAGTTTAATAATTATTGAATTAGTTTACTTTTGCTGAGTGCTATTTGAGTTATCGAGGATTTTTAATCAACTTTGATTAGCTCAAAGTTTTTAAAAATTCTATAATTTCAAAATAAATATGGGTATCTTGGGCTAGATATATTTTATGGAATGGAATTTTTTTTTTGAAAATTTGAGTTTTATTTTTGACTAACTCTATCATAACCCTTATAAAATTTTTTTAATTGAATAGATGAAATTTAATTTTAAAAAAAGTGTTAAACAAATTTTTTACAATAAATAAAAATCTGTTGTAAATTAATTTTTCAAAGAGATTGCATTGGATCACAATTTTATTTTTTTTTATTTTCAAGTAAAAGAGCACACCTAATTTTTGCATCATTTTATTAAACAATCATCAACCTTAGTATCATCAATTGTAATTATCAAATTTTTATATCATATTTTCTAAAAATGACAGAAGTCTATATGATTTCCTTCGCTTGTATAATTTGAAATTATTGTTATTATTCAAAAATATATATAAATATTCTAAAATATTTTTTATATTTGAAAATTTTTTTTTAATATATATGTCGTATGGGGTATCGGAATTTGTGGGGATTCGGAATCTCTCAATTTTTAATCATTTACTAAAGGCGATTTTTGGATTTTAAAAATCTGATTTTACAGGAATCGTATTCCAGCATGTGTAGAGTATTTACCCTGTAAATTTCAGCCAATTTCAGCGATATACATTTTAGTATTTTTTTAGTTTATATGAAAAATCCATATAAAAATTAATATAAATTAGAAGTAGTTTCTAAAGTTCATGACAAAATTGTTTGAAATTTACAGTTTGGGTACTCTACCCATGATAGAATACATTTCCGGTTAAATCGAACTTAAAATTTTTTTAAATCGCTCTCGGTATTCCGAATATCCCAATACCACATATATATCATTCGAAATTATATTGTTATTCGAAATAATTCGTAATATATCAAATTTATTTGTAAATATTATAAATTATTTACAAATATTCTGACTTATTCGATAATAATTTGGCACATGGAACTCGTTTACAATATTCACTTTTTAAATTTTAATAGTTACTTTACATTTTCTAAAATATGCTAAGAGAATTTAATTTTTGAATCGAATTGTAAATCAAATCGAATAAACGTTTTTATTATTTCCCGGAAACCCACAACAGATATTTAATAAATGGAATGAATTACCAAAATACGGCAAATGGTGACACCTACCCTCCAGTAGCGGTTTTTGGTTCTAATAGGGTTGTTAAAAAGCTAAAAACCCGATTCGGCCATTTTTATAAAGGCCCCCGGTTAAGATTTTAGCCAAAATTGTATTATGTAAACCTCGTGGGTCCGGATTATAGTCCCGCAACGCCGGGTCAGCGGTAACTTTATCAGAGAGGTCAGCAATGCGCGGATATTTAACCGAGACTTACATTGTCTAAATATAATCCGTTCGCCCGCCCGTCCATGGATTTATTTTTAAATTAACCCGTTCACGCTCAATTAACCTGATATAAATTGTTTAACCAGCCTGCCAAATGTTAAAAACATTATAGTATTGTTTGTTGGTTTGGCTCTTTATTTATGCTTATATTTATGTATTTTTTTTTTTTACTTCAAACTTAAAATTATAAAATTAGCAATGTTTTTGTTTGTAAAATATTTTTAACTCCACTCTCTCTCACTCGCTTTGTAAACAAATTTTTAGCTTTCCCGCCACCCGACCGTTGCAGTATTATACATCATAGATGGAATATAGACCACCTGAACGTGGCCAAAAATATTAATATTATATTTCCTTCCTATTTCTTGAATATCACGATTATAAAATATATAAATATTTGATAAGAATTTTTTTTCTAAAAAAATTTTAAAAAAAGGTGGGAAATATTTATTTTTCATTTTCATATCATATCATAATATTTTATAGTGATAATATAGATAAACATAATCAAAATATCGAAGTTACTGTTTAATACTTAAAATGAATGCGTATAAATATTTAAAATAGAGAGAAGTGTAAAAAATAAATATTCTGAATTTGAGATATCCTTATTGTTGTAATTGTGTATTTTTACATTATATATATATATATAACTTATATATCCAATGCCAATCAAGTAATGTTTAAATGTAGATTCAGAGATTATATATCTAAGTTTTTTATAATATCTTATTATGTCAATATTATATGTTATACATGTCAAACATCAATATGATGTCAATCATTTTGGATTTTGTAAGAAACCTATAAGTAAAATCCGGTCACGGGTCGCTACGGGCTGTAAACCGGTTTTGAATTAAAACAAAATAAATATTGTTCCCCGAAAATTTTTAAAATTAAAAAAAAATTACCACTTATTAAGTAATTTAAAATTGCGTTATTCCTTAATCCCCATGGATTCCAAATACCGCATACGACATTTAAGGCCTTCGTTTATAGTAAGCGCGAGGAATACCGCGATGTCGCTCAAGAGTGATGCGTAAATTAACATTATACGGCTACGCATGAATAACGCGCTTACTATAAACCAGGCGTTACCCCTGCCATCACAGCTAGCACGAATTCGGAGTGATAGGCATTTTTTTTACCAATATTTGCCCTGTAAATTTTGACATTTTGGCCCACTTCGCAGCGAATTTCACGCTAATAGTGATGCAGGATTCATAAACAAATTCTTAGACACTTCGATATTTTTGAATTCTTTGTTTTTATAATTTATTAAATGGAATAATAAAAAAAAAATTTTTAAAACTAAAACCTAGAGGTTGTTATAAAAGCCTTATTAATTTAGATCGATTTTTAAAAACCACCCCATTAAGATTTTAGCTAAAATAATTTTATGCAAGCCTCAAGATTTTACTCATAGATGTCAGAAAGGTTAAGCTTAATTCGGGTTAATTTTTAAAAAC